GGCTCTCATGGATCTCATGATGAAAGGGAATTAGTATTTGGGCTCTCGTGAATCTCATCATTCCATCCCATCTCATCTCCTCCTCCTGTCATCATCAGGTCATCCCACATTATTAGGGGGATGTGATCTCCAAACCCTCCAATCTCAGACCTTGTTGACCTTGTTGACCTTCTAGGGGGGGGGGGCCCCCGTTGATTAATCCGACGTCTGCATTACACGGCTTTGCGTACAAGCGCTGTAAAACCCTCACTCTTGCATAACGCTTACCATTCTTCTACATACTCCGGCTTTCCACGCGCCGGCCATCCGTCGTCTAGTCTTTTCTCTCGCTTTTGGAGGCTCAGTCAGGCGCGCGTGGCTGTTTGCGCCCTGGAGCCTGTGAGCCGGCGCCGCTAGATTGGCGGTTGAGGTTGCTACCCCCTCGATTTGCACCCTTCGCAACGCTGTCGGAAACCATAAATATGCACGGTGTGGGGTTGCTCTGTAGCAAAAGACATCTGCGGGCAGCGCCACAGCAGCAGCAGCACAAGCGCGCAGGGCCCAAACCGCCCCGGCCACAAGCATCAATACGCAGCGACACCCTGCAGCGCCCTCCGTTGCACACGCAGCGCGCAGGCCCCAAACCGCACACGGCGATATACACATCTTGCGCCAGCACCCCAGAGTGGCGCCCACCAGCATCCAGGCTCACACAGCCATCAGCGGCGCCCAAGCTCCAAGGCCACACATCTGGCACCAGCACCCCGCCCGCACCACCCCTCCAAGAAGAAAACGCCCATCCAGCGCCAACCAGCACCCACACCAGCACTGCACCAGCATGCTCAAACAAAACGCCGATCCAGCGCCGGCGCCGATCCAGCACAGCCCCCGCACCATCACCACACGCAGCACCTGCGCCAGCATGATCAAGAAAACGACGATCCAGCACGAGCACCCATGCCAGCACTCCAGCGCGACCCCAGCAAACCAGCACGCGGGCCAGCACGCACCAGCGCCAGAACCACACCATTGAGAAGTACGAACCCCGGCCCTATAGCTTGCAGTATCGCGGCGCCGCCAGCAGCACACTGTTGCGGCAAGGCGGCGAAGGGCGCGCAGCTACGGCAACAATACACCAGCAGCACCCTGCAGTGGCACAAAGCACCCAAGCGCACACAGCAGCAGCGCCCCACAGCCGCACCAGCACCACTCTCCCAAGCGCCAGCAGCGGCACCAGGACCCAAAGCTTCCAAGCGCACACAGCAGCGCCACCCTCCCAAGCTCCCAAGCGCACACAGGAGCACCTCCAACGGCACCACACCCAAGCTACGAAGCGACAGCAGCGGAGCCGGCACCAGCGCCCAAGCTCCCAAGCGCAGGCAGCAGCGGTGGCGGTGGCGGCGGCGGCGGTGTGGCGGCGGTGGTTATGGTGGTGAGGAAGGCGACGATAGCGGCGGCGGTCCGGTGTTGGAGATGGCCAGCCCACCAGATTCTGCAGTCGAAAGGCGCTTCGAAGTTCTTCAGGCAAATGAACGTAAAATAGCAGCAGATTAGCCGGGCGCCCCGATGAGAACTTCCGATCAAACACCCATCCTTAACAGTCGTAACCTAGGGTGACACACTGACCACTCAGGCTGAAATAGCATCTTTTCACGTGTCCTTGTCTGCTTCTCCACTCCCAGACATGGTCGGGCGTTCCTGTCAGAATTATCTCACGTCAGAAAGCTTCTACTTCGCCCTAGGTTCCTTTGCACCCACAAGGCCACCATCCACGCTGAAAAGGTCCTTCCATGTGCTCAGGTTCATCACTAGCCACCAGCCCAAAAATCAACGAGGAGCGCTGGATATATTGTTTATATGGTCCTTGTCTACCTCTCCGCTGGAGGAGGCCGGCGAGCGTTCCTGCCAACTTGCACAAATGCTAGCCGCTAGCCTTATGATAAAATTTGAAAGTCTGGGCTGAGGTTTTGCAAAATAGCTACGTTTGCATTTTCGCATGCCGTTTGCGTTCTGGTGTTGCGTTTTGTTTGCATTCAAAACCTTTTTTGGGTTCCTTTTGCCCTTCGAATGTTCATGTCTAGGGATCTTTGCGCGGAAAATCTTCCTAGATACAGTCATGGACCTGGAACTGCATCATTGTCTGCAAGGCTTCCTTAAAGAATTAAGTTTGGTCCGGCTTGCTTCTTTCGTCACTGATGCGGGAACACACAAATGCAAAAAGAAGAGCGCAAGGAAAACTAGAACCACAATAAGGAATGCAAAATCCGCCGCCCTGCCGGGGTGCCTTGTGGATGTTCTTGTACTGTATTGTCTAATACTAAAGTTGTTCGTCGTTTAGATTGCTCCTCTGCGCAGATTTTGCCTCGACTAACTTGACCCGCCCCCTCCCCCCCGTCCAGCGCTTTGCCACGGTTAAAAAAGGATAGCCCACGGTTTGCACCAACCACCATGTACACCCAACCACGGCTTACGACAACAAAACACCGTTTACGCCAACCATCGTGTACACCAAGCCACCGTTTACAACCACTGTGACTTGGGGCAAAACCATGCCCGCTGGTGCCATCCTTGGCGCCATGGCCTTTCGGACAAACAGTGAGCTTGAGTTTTTGGCGGAGGTCACGCGGCGTGTGATCAAAGCTGGACTTCAGACCTGGGAATTTCCACGCCGCGATTTTTCGCCCCTTTGAGCTTGTTTCATTTGCTTCTTTGCGTAGTGGACATTTTCGTCTGCTGTTTCCGTGGAAGGCTGGCAGCACCGCTCAAGACCCACGGGGATCCTTCATGAGCGCGATGGGTAGAACAGGTTTTGCACACTCTACCTATTTAATTGCTTAGGCCGTTCAAGATGCCGCACCAAGCAATAAGGCTCAAAGACCAACGAGCAACAGAAACCAGAAACAAACGTGCCACACAACTGAATGAAGAAAAGAATGGCTGCAAAAAACTTGAGGCCAGGGGGAGGAGGTCGAAAGCTAGCCGTTACATAGTCGGCAAAGCATGTAGTGATTACATGTTTTGGGAGGAAGGTTGCTATGTACATACTTTGCGCTAAAGAATGTAAATGTGACATCGATGACTGGGAAGGGTACATTGGAACAACCCGGGCGCGCTCGTTGGCAGGCACGAAGATGCGTGATCGGCAAATTTGGTGGGTAAATTTACCCTCCGCTTTTGTATGCCTTGAGTCGGAAAGAGGGGTAAGATTTCTGGCATCACACGGACTGTGCATATACTAGGGCGTCCGTAGTGTAGGATAAGCACTGGTAAAAGGTATAAGGAGTAGAGTGTCTTGAGGAAATAGCCGGCTAATGGTCATGGCAAATCTGGGGGGTAAATTTACCCCCCCGCTTATGTATGCCTTGAGCCGGAACGAGGGGTAAGCATCACAAGGACTGTGCATACACTAGGGCGTCCGTAGTGTAGGATAAGCACTGGCAAAAAAGTATCAGGAATAGAGCGTCTTGAGGAAATAGCCGGTGTATGGTTATAGCAAGCCTGGGGCCTGGGGGCTAAATTTACCACCCGCTTATGCATGCATTTTGTTAGAAATAGGGGTAAACAACTTGTAACGGTGAAGTACAAGTCCTATGCAGCAAGCAGCAGCCAGCAGCAGGAGCAGCAGCAGCCGCCTGCACCCAGCAGCAACCGCCAACCAGCAGCCAGCCAGCAGCACCACGCAGCAGCAGCGCCGCACCAAGCCGCAGCAGCAGCAGCGCCACCGGCAGCAAGCAGCAAGCAGCAGCAGCAGCAGCAAGCAGCAAGCAGCAGCAGCAGCGGCGTCGTCAGCAACAGCAGCAGCAGCACCAAGCCGCAACAAGTAGCAAAGCAGCAGCTACTAAAGCGGCAACCAGCGGCAGCAGCAAACAGCAGCAGCAAGCAGAAGAGCGGCAGCAGCAGCACCGTTTACACCAAGCCACCGTTTACACCCAACCAACCACGTTCACACGTTCACCCAACCCCTGCTACACGGCGCAGCTGGGAGTCGAATCGTGGGGGAGGGGGCGGGTGGTTAGTGTGATATATCAAGCTTTAAGGCACACAGCTCATCCCACTACCAATTGCTAAAGCAAAAAAGAACTCAGCTAGCATGCTAGCTTTCGTGATGAAAAAGGCAACCCCACACCAGCAGCCGGAAACAATCACAAAATAACGCACTACCATCATACAAAAAACTGTCTTTGCTGTGGCCCTAGAATGCTCTAGATTTCTCATAACGCTAGCCGCTAGCAAGCCCTCAAACACCCACGGGTTCCTTTGCACCCTCTGAGCCACCATCGACGTGGATAAGGTCCTGTCAAGCTGAGTCAATGCCCACAACCCTCGCAGCCAAAAAAACGCCTGAAGATGTCTGAACATGTCTGAACAAGTCCTTGTCTGCTTCTCTGCTTGTAGAGGCGAGTAGGTGCGCCTACCGTCAGATTGTACAATGTGAGTTCGTCCTCTGCCACGCAGCACTTCACACATGGTCCTTCACACCCTGCGGGCCACCATCCACACTGAACAGGTCCTGTTATTTGCACAAACCACAAACCATGCCACCTGGCCACACCCGGTGTCTTGCCTCAATGTCTGCTAGAGGTGTTCCAGTCTAACAACCAAGAATGTCCTTGTCTTCTTCTGCATTGACAGGCCGCGTGGAGCTCTCCTTCACATTCCATGTTTTTATCGACACACACAAAATTGCAATCTTCATCCAAGCGCCTTGGGAGTCTCCACGCCATCCACGCTGATGGGGTCCTGCCAAAAGCATTTGTAGCACACAGCAGTAGACTCAGTAGACTGGTCATCAAGAAAGTGATTCGCAGTTCACAAGCCACAACATCACAACATCACCATCATAGGCAAGGCCAAGCCCAACATGAGCACGAACGTACCATTGCGCGAAAAGGAGCTGCAACCACAAGAGAGCGAGCAAAGAAAACAATAATGCAGCAGCTTAGCAGCTAAGCAAGCTTGAGGAAGGATGCGTCTGCACAAGCAGCAACAAGGAACGCAATGGATGCGCCAACAGTTCTTCATTCTTGCCTCTCCTTACTGTCCCTGCAGATTGGGTGATTGTGTACACACATCTGACCCAACTCACTTGTGTTCTTGTTGCACTTGACGCAAACAATTCCAACTGGCAGGAGACGGGGACTTGAGAACAGCGAATGTATAGGCTCTATAAGACAATGAAACAGTGGAAAATAGGCTTGATCGAGCGCGTTGGTCCACGGACGTGGACCCGCAGGCCCTGGTTCCCGCTCAAATCATGTGGCTTACAGTAACAGCACATCCGGTTGGCTTCGCGGTAATCTCGAGAGGTTCGACGTGATTTGCTATATCTTACCATGGCTGGCAGGGACCTGTAGCTGCAGCGCCTCATCAAGTACCATGTTGAGCGCTGGCCCTTTCTGGTCAGATTTGAAGCAACTGTTGACGCTCGAATGAGTCATCATTGAATCCACGCAGTTCACACAAGGTGTATACATATGTTTCCGACAGTTCAATTAAGCGCCTTGAGACTAGGCAGGCTGCAACCTCTGACCTCGACTTCGCGTCAAAACACGCGCGCTTGCGCTTCACTTTTTGCTTGAGTTTGACCCCGCCGACTTCGTTCGCGGTTGGGCGAGGAAGCTACCTCGATGTTGGTAGCGGAGCCCAGTACCCTCCAGATTTCCTTTGACCGTGAGGCTACATCACTGCGCTTTTGTTGGAGATCCTTTTTGATGGCAAACAAAGGAAACGGAAGCCAACGAACTGGATGTGAACAACAATGAGGCCTTTTGAGGCCTCAACCAGCTGGAGGCACCGGCTCGCAGATGTCCTTTGCACCTCAGGTTCGTGGCTGAGGTTGTACGCAGGCAGGACGAAGAAGCTTACGAGATGCGATGAAGCATACGATCAGCTACTTGGAGAGCCGGCGCAGGTGCGAGAGTTGAGGATTCTATCCCACGGCGGCCATTACGCCTGGCGACAATGGAGGAGGAAGAAGCTCATGCAAGGAAAGAGTAAAGTTTGAGTAAAGGAAAACAAGGGCAAGGGCAAAGGCGTCGACCCACTACTGAGCTCATCTACGGGATCCACAGAAAGTCGAAAGTCAACACGCATCGCACGGCCCTCCATTCACACGATATCGAGTACAAGCCAATGGAGTGAAAGAAGTCCCTGAAGAAGGAAATATGGTTGAAGAAATGGATGACAGCTGGTGACCATCACAGAGGAACACTGTCTGTTCTCAGCTCTTGAACCTGGAAAAGCCATTGTTGACTCTGACCGTTGCAGGACCGGAGAAGAAGTATGGAAGCAGTGGCTGGAGCGTCTCAATCCAACCGATGTCATGATTGCGATCAAGAAGAGAGATTTTCTGATGTTCGCTTTGGAGGAGGTGAAGTGCTTCGATCTCATACGAGGCACAAGACCTTGGAGCTGGCGGCGTCCATTGTTCCACACATTCTTGCTGTCGAAGGTACCTCAAGCATGATTTCACCACTGGACGGACGCAGGTGATGGATGGCGAATGGTTCTCTCCAGAGCTTGGACATCGCGGTCACCATGTTCTCAACCTCATTGACAAGATGGCTGAAGTCCACATGACCGAGGAGGTTGAGAGCTATGGAACATTGGAGTTCCTATGGAGAAGAATGCAGGGGACACCAATGATGAAGCCCTGCTTCAGTTGGCTGACCGTGAAGACTTTGTTGCCCACATTGCGAATTGCGAAGAAAGACACCGCTCTATGTGGTTGGAGGCAACTTGGCGACGGAATTGGCCAAGAGACCAAATGCGACCGTGGCCACATGCATTCTCACTGCCTGAGTGGGATTTTGGCAAGGGGACCGTGAGAAAGAGTTTTCTGCAGTCGCTTCGAGCTGAACGACCTCACTTTGTCTGGCTGGCACCTCCATGCAAGTAGAGCACGATGCAGAAAATGGCCGCTTGAACTCTGGAGGCCAGGAAGGAGTTAGAAGCTGATCAGCAATGGGAAGAAGACAACCACTTGACCTTGAGCGCCGATGCGCCCGATGTTTTCTGATGATGAAGACATCGGATTTGGACTGGAACAACCTCATTGGGCAGCTTCATGGTACACCAATGTTCTCAGCAACGTGAATGACAACTTGCTGGACGCAGCACGCGATCGATGTCGCACTGGACTTGTCTACAAGAATCCAAATGGCAAGGTGCTTGCAAAGTGAAGAAGACCACTCGACCACTCGAATCCGCACTGGAAGTGATCATTTGTTCCAGGCCCTCGGTTTGACCTGTCAACGCCGTCAAGCTGAACATGTCCAAATGGATAGAAAGTCACAGGCATTGGAGGCCACGCAGAACTATGAGCCTGGATTTGTCAAAAAAGCAGCGCAGCTGACGCCATCATGAAAGACATGGAGGAGAAGTGGCGACAGCGTGAGATGGCCCGCATCTTTGTGTCCGAGGAGCTTGAGGCATTGAGGACATGGAGAAAATGGAGAAAGAAGCGAAGGAGAATCGAGTCACGGACGAAGAGAAAGCTCTCACGAAGACTCACGGAAAGAAGGCAGTTCGAGCAAGCTTCACCGGCTGCTTGGTCGCCCAAGCAATGGAAAAACTTTGCAAAGCACTCAAGGGCGCCAAGTTCCCTGACGAAGCGACGAAGTGATTCAGGTCGCCAAGACCTATGAGTGTGGCAATTGCAGTTCTGACGTCCAGCGGAAGCTTGCAAAGCCTGGTTCACTGCCACAGGCCACACACTTCAATGAACTCGTGGAGGTGGACACTTTTCATGTGAAGTGGAATGATAAGCGAATCCACATCTTGGGAGCCATTGACATTGAAGCCAGTGGTACAGTGTCTTTGGCGCGCCCAGCAAGCTGCGAACTGACAGCTCAGGAACTCATATATGTCTCAGCGCTTCCAGCAATGCCTCAATGACTATGATGGTGTCAAGTTGCTACTTGTTCCCAAGGAGGCTCACCACAAGATGGGCATCGTGGAGCGCTTGCACGCTGCGCGCCGACTCCAGCTATTGAAGCTATTGCGTGACCACCCAGAGATTGATCTGAAGGTAGCAATTTCTCTGTCTGTCTTGCCAACAGCGGAATCGACCTCGCTCCATCCATGGATCTTCTCCAGCCAGGTTGTCTTCAGCAGTAAGCCAATCAAATCATCCAGCTGGACTCATGGGTGAACCTCATGAGCCACGGCCAGACTACGAGAGTGCCATTCAAGAAGCCCGCTCTTCGCGGCACGCAGCAGCCACTGCTTTCTACTCACCGGCCACATGATGACTACTTGGGAGCTGGGGAAGGCATCACGAGAGTTGGGGATGAGATGTGAGCAACGTCAAAAAGGTTGCCGCTTGCTGGCACAAAGATTCCGGTTTGGAACCTGGCTTTTGGTAAGCATGAGAAGTTGAGGTTTTGCGGAACAGCCTTCCAGCAAAGCTTGATGCAATGATTCCCTGTCGCTCCAGGAGTGCATCACCAAGCTGAAGCCAATTCCAGTCGAGAAGTCTCGAAAGAGCACGCCTGAAGGAAGACCAACACTAGCCTGGCCATCTGGACAATGTCTACCGCCGCTGGCAGCTTCTGTGAGCATTCACCAGGCGAGTTCCAGCGCGCCCACAACTCAGGACTGTTTGGCCACCAACAAGACCTTGAGGTTCGCCAAGGAGATGGTGAAAGAGTACTTATGCGCTCACCCTTCGCAAACACGGCGAGAGCCTAGAGCATCTGAGGTTCAGTGTCTATTGCGACGCATCCTGGAGTGCGAGGCCCGACGGACCCTCGCAGGGCGGCAGTATATTTGATTTTTGTCGCCGCCGCAGTCGAGCTTGAAGGCGAGAAACCCTTCCCGCTGACAATCGTTGAATGGCACTCATGAAAGTTGCCACGGCGAGCTTGAGTATGATCAGGCCCCAATGAACGACATGGTGACCCAGAATGCCGAGGACAAGAGTTCCGAAAGTTCCACTGAGACAATTTGATCTTTGCGGGGAAGTCGAACAAGAGGAAAAGCTAAAGAAATGGCGAGAGATCAAGGAGCTGATGGAAAACCCAGAAGAGACTCACCTTGACCCACAGATGAGGACGTTTCTCGCGGCTGAAGACATGTCTGCCTACCGCTGCTTGAGATTCAAAGGAACTCTTCAGTGACCACCAGGTCCGGCAGTGGATTCGGTTCATGAATGACTACCTTGTCCTCATGCGCGAGCTGAACTACAAGATCAAAAGGCTGGCTGAAGATGAAGCTGAAGAAAGGCCAAGGAAGTCTCAGTCTCAGCGCTATCTGGACGGTGAACTGAAAGATCGGCAGAGCCACACGCCGACTCATTACGACAGGACCAGAATGCCAGATCGATATGTACAGGAGCATGGCTGAACAGCGACGACTTTTATCCACACAGGGATTGAAGTCCCTTGAAAGGCCTGAGATCGAAGAAGAACATGATGGCCGAATTTTCTTTTGATTTTCTCCGCAAGGGCGGTTCAAAATGAAACAACTCTTCCTTCTGCGTTGATGCTCGACTGAGTCATCATTGAATCCACGCAGTTCACACGAGATGTGTACATGTGTTTCCGATCCGGCTCAATTCAGGGCCCAATTGAGACTATAGGCAGGCTGCGACCTCTGACCTTGACTTCGCGTCGAAACACGCGCGAGGAAGCTACCTTGGGACCTGTCGTGATGTGGTCCGTGACGCTGTGATCTGACGAGGGTAGAGATGATTTGCTTCTCGCTAGAGTGCGGGAACTCTCCACCCGCAAGAAAGTCCTCTGAGTCTTCTCTGCCATTCCTCCCCGCAATCTCCTGGCAATACTGCAGAATCGGTCAACTAAAGTGAGATTAAGTGGCGCTGGCTGCTGTGGCACAGGATGGCAACAGCGCGTCAAATCGCAAAAAAATACAAGTCTTTCCGCCTTGCGATACGGCTTTGAAGACCAAGTGCCTGTTGACTGGCATACTTCGTGGGTTACTGGACTACCTCTCCGCACCTTGCGAGCGCAAACCCGGAAGTATCCCGATCCTTAAAATTGTCAAGCAGTCATGAACTTGCTTCCAGCATCAAGAACATCTTCAGCGGAGCAGATTCAAACAACTTGGCTGCTAGCAAGAAAAGACCCATCCTGGGGCGGCGTTCTCATGTAAGGATTCTTGCAAGTCTAAACTCTAGACCGGTTCACTGTGTTTTGTTTTCAGTCATATCTACTATCTTTAAGTAGTTTTTCAGGGTTCAACGTAGACTAGGGCTCAATTTGATTCCTAGGTTGCGCGCGCGCGAAAGCCTTGGAATCACAGGGAATCAGTTGTTTTTTGCAGGGGGATGGAGACGTCGTACGCACCTCACACGATCCTAGGATCTCATCAGGGACGCCTGATGACGTACCTGCTTTGTGATGACTTCTCATTCATTAGTGGGCCCCGTTTCAACTACAACAAGTTAGCCTGCCTTTGCAGGTTATGTGTGGCAACCGCAATCGCGTCAACCCTGGGCTGGCGTGAAGTGTGTCTGGCTTCATGCCAGCCCAGGGTGTACCCGAGGAGTGTCCCTGTGGCCCCGGTGAACGGGGGTTTGTCTATGTTTCCATTGCTTGGACCTGGACACGGAGGAGAGCGTAGGAGGCTTAAGCCAAAGTTATTTGCCAAGGCCAGATGAATTATCGCGTACGAGTAGGCAGCCTTCGGGCGCGCCATAAGGCGACCAAAGCGGTCAAAGCTGCCAGCCAGTTTGGCGCCGCGCAACGTGGCCGCAGCGGCCGAAGTTCTCTCAAGGCTTGTCTCAACCTTAGGCGCATACACAGCGTGTACCTCGAAAGAGGCCAGGTCTGCCTTTTGGTTTTCTCTAACGACGTCTCATTTCGTTGGTTTCCCGCCCCTCCATTTGCTTTCCCCTTCCATTCCCTGCCCTTCACGCGCACATCTTCTTTCCATTTTCTTTTCATGTCCTTCTGCCTTCATGTTCCGTCGTCTCACTCCGTTCCTTCTTTTGCGCGCACAACGGCCCGGCCCTTAGCATGTACGCGCGCAACTTGCCTTCAACCCAGGTTTCAGGTCGCCCAGGTTTTGCCAATGAGGTCTGGTTCACTGGTTGTCCCTGCGCACTTGGTTTCCCTGCATCACAACCACACAGTTTGGTCTTGCCTTGTCACTTGTCTCCTTCTCATGTCTTCATCCTTTCGCCTTCTTTGCGCGCGCACACGCACATTTGTTCGCCCCTAGTTTTTAGGCCCCCCACGGGGGGGGCGCGCACGCGAAACCCTTTGAATCAAAGAGAATCAGTTGTTTCTTTTGCAGGGGGGTGGAGAGGACGTATGAGGCTCCGTCCAACGAAGCTCCTCATACGATCCTAGGATATCATCAGGGACGCCTGATGAGGCACCTGCTTTGCGATGACTTCTCATTCACCGCTGGGCCCCGTTTTAACTTTTTAACTACAACAGACTAGCCAGCCTTTGCATCGGTTATGCGCTCGGCAGTCATATATTTGCTCAATAGTGGAGTTGGGTGTCTTAGGTTTCGAAGATGCTTAGACCACCTTACTTACACTTGTCCTGGTTCCTTATGTTTTCCTCAGGCCGGCATGTGGCAACCGCAATCGTGTCAGTACGCAATATATCGAGTGTGCGTTTATTGAAAAAATGTTCGCTCTTTTTGTTTTGACGCAGCGCCAAGACTCTCGCAAAACCATCATTGCTCGCGAGGCTATCGTGTTGAGCCTGCAACTGCAAATTCATGGTGGTGTCACACAATGCTAGGCTATGCGGCTAAGCCAACCGTACCCAGGTTTTCCAAGTGTTTTTCATATATCAAGCTTTCATGCGTTGAACGTGTCTTCTAAAAATGGATTTGTTTCGGACAAAAATTCCGTTCCAACGCTTTTCCACTTCGGGCGCCTGCGGCTCTTCCATCCGTGATCTCGCGGTGAATCTGTCCACTCCCTGATTTTGCGTTTGCTTTCAGGAAACAAAGTTCTCGCACTTCTGTTGTCAAGCCCTGCAACAACATTTTTTTAAAGGTGGTCGTTGGCTATACTGGTTGCAACTGCGTCGTGCTAAATTAAAGGGAAACGCGTGAGATTGCGCTATCTTGGTCTGGGGGTTAAACTCCGGACTGGCTGAAGTTGACGTCTTCATCTCCAAGTCCGAGCCATGCCGGCCGCCTGGGCGAACAAATGTACTTGTGTCTGAAGCGCCCAACAGTCAATACAAGCCAAAGCCAACTCGCAAACCCAACTTTTACTGCTCAATTCCGTTCATGCACATCACAGTCAGCCCTACTCAAGTTGCTCTCACTCCAAAGCTGCGCGTATTTTTCCTTTCCCCTGCCAAGGGGTAAGTTCATGTAAGTTCAACGCTGGCACAAAATGATTGTGCGTTGGCTCTGTCCATATGTGTATCAGGTTCGTTCCCGAACCTGGAAGACAGAGGTGGGGGCATCGGATCGTGCCGGAAATGGTACCACTCAAACCTCCTCCACCTACCTGATCACTCACTCCATCATCCAGAGTACACGCATCAGGTTCGTTCTCAAGGCACCCCCCGAACGCATGTACATGAACTCTCCCACACGGATCGCTGCCATAGAGGGGAGATATCACAGGAAGCTCCAGCCCTAGCAAACCATAGCCACGGACCAGCGATGGAAAAGGCGCCCACAGCACTGGACAGAAAACCCAATAGTCTTTAGGACGGTGCATAAAATCCTGCGAGTAAGCCCAAGCAGCGCACCACCACCCCGGCTCTGCTGGCTATTTAGCGGAAAAGCAACGCTGCCGCAGGCTGGTGGAGACAAGCCCTAGCATAGGCAAGCACACGGTACGCATAGATCACTTCCACCCTGATACAGTATACGGTTCGCCTGAGCCTCACCCCGCGCAAGAACAACGGGGCCGGGCAGGCCCTCGCTCTCTCGTACCGGCACGGGTGAGCCTACAGCCGCCGGCCTTGTTTAGGCAGCCGCGGGATGATCTATCTGGCAACTCGCAGGCCACTGGGGAGATTGTGGATGGATGCCTCAACGTAGCTCCAGAATTGATACGTTGGTCGCTGTGAGGTCGTTTACAATCGCCCGTCCGAGATATGCTGCTTCTGCTTGCTCTTCTTCTCTTGCAAAGAAAAAGAAACAAGATGGAGCCCACGAACCCGAATGCAGACACGTTCCAAAAGGTACAAATGACACTCTTGTAGGACACTCTTGTGGGACACTTTTGTGGGTCACTCTTGTAGGAAACTCTTGTGGGACACTCTTGAGGGACACTCTTGTGGGACAGTCTTCTGGGACACTCTTGTGGTGGGACCACACTCTTGCGGTCACTCTTATGGGAAACTCTTGTCGGACACTCTGTGAGACACTCTTGTAGGACACTCTTGTGGGTCACTCTTACAAGACACTCTTGTAGGAAACTCGTGTAGGACACTCTTGTGGGACACTTTTGTGGGACACTCTTGTGGGATAGGAAACTCTCTTGTAGGACACTCTTGTGGGACACACTTGTGAGACACTCTTGTGGGACACTGTTGTGGGACACTCATACGGGGCACTCTTGTGGGACACTCTTGTAGGACACTCTTGTGGGACACTCTTGTGGGACACTCTTGCGGGACACTCTTGTGGGAAACTCTTGTGGGACACACTTGTGAGACACTCTTGCGGGACACTCTTGTGGGACACTCATACGGGACACTCTTGTGAGACACTCTTGCGCGCTCTTGTAGGACACTCTTGTGGGACACACTTGTGAGACGCTCTTGTGGGACACTCTTGTGGGACACTCATATGGGACACTCTTGTGGGACACTCTTGTAGGACACTCTTGTGGGACACTCTTGTGGGACACTCTTGCGGGACACTCTTGTAGGAAATCCCGCCAGAGTGTCCTATAAGAGTGTCCCACAAGAGTGTCCTACAAGAGTGCCCCATAAGAGTTTCCCACAAGAGTGTCCCACAAGAGTTTCCCACAAGGGTGTCCCACAAGAGTGTCCTACAGGAGTGTCCCACAAGAGTGTCCTACAAGAGCGTCCCACAAGAGTGCCCTACAAGAGTATCCCCTACAAGAGTGTCCCACAAGAGTGTCCCGTATGACGAGTGTCCCACAAGAGTGTCCCACAAGAGTGTCCTACAGGCGTGTCCCACAAGAGTGTCCTACAAGAGTGTCCCACAAGAGTGTCCTACAAGAGTATCCCACTCTTAAGGAACACTCTTGTGGGACACTCTTGCGCAAAACTCTTGTGGGATACTCTTGTAGGACACTCTTGTGGGACACTCTTGTAGGGCACTCTTCATACGAGACTTCCTCCAAAAGTCAAAACGAGCGTTTCGTACGAGACTTCCTCCAAAAGTCACATGTCAAGTCTCCAAAACGAGCGTTTCGTACAAGACTTCCTCCAAAAGTCACGTGTCAAGTCTCCAAAACGAGCGTTTCGTACGAGACTTCCTCCAAAACTCACATGTCAAAGTCTGCAAAACGAGCATTTCGTACGAGACTTCCTCTAAAAGTCAAGCGGAAACACCCATCAGAGCACACACATCACGCAGCCCTGCCAAGCAGTTTCGCGAGTCCAGCCCCTCCAAACAACACCCGTTCACACGCCAATACCACTGTGACAGCGACATTCACCTCTACCACAACTCACGACCTCACAATTCCCTGCGCCTGTCACGAATCTTTCCGCATCCACACGTCTAACGCGCACAAAGTACTGCGCCTGCCACGAAATGTCACCTCCGTCACACCTCGCAACCTCACCATTCCCTGCGCCTGCCACGAGAATCGCACTTCCACGCCTCAAAACCCACACAAAGTACTGCGCCTGCCACGAAAAGTGACAATATCATCTCATGTCAGCTTCAACAAATTTTGCGCCACACCACACGTTTGGAATGATTTCGACCCGTTCTGAGCACACTCGATCCACCAAAATCGCCATTTCAGCTGAGACTGGTCACAAAAACAGAGCTTCGATGCCGCACCCTGAAACGCAAATCCCAATGGCACGGCCACATCCAACACCCCAAAAACACGACTCTCCAAACGCTAATCCCAATGGAACTGCGCAGCAAACTGCGGATCTCACAAAACGTTGCGCCTGTGCAGCGAAATGCATCACGCTTCTTGCGCGGCATGTCATCAAATCACAATGGAATAGTCACTTGCAAAAGCTTCCCCCAATGGCAGCGCCTTAGCGCTCTACTGCGAACACCTGCGGACGGTTGCGGACGGTTGCGAACGGTTGCGAACGGTTGCGGACGGTTGCGAACATAGAAACAACGGGTCGCGAACAAGGCTCTACCCCCAGACCCCCAGAGTTAAACGAGAACCCTTCGCTACGCATTCGGGAAAAAGAGAGAAAGGAAGAGAAAGAGGCAGAGGAGGAGAAAGAGGAAGGGCAAGAGAAAGAGCAAGAACAAGAGAAAAAGAAAGAAAAAGAGACAGAGAAAAAAGAAGAGCAAGCGAGAGAAAGAAAGAAAGAAAGAACGAAAGAAAGAAAAAGAGGAAGAGGAAGAGGAAGAGGAAGAGAAAAGATAAAAGATAAAAGAGAAAAGAGAAAAGAGAAAGGAAGAGAGAGAGAGAGAGAAAGAGAAAGAAAAAGAACAAGAAAGAAAAAGAAAAAGAAGCAGAAAGAGAAAGAACATGAGGAAGAGGGAGAGAAAGAGAAAAGAGAAAAGAGGAAAGAGAAAGAAAAAGAAAGAAAAAATAAGCAGAAAAGAGAAAGAGAGAGAAAGAGAACTACAAAGAGGAAGAGAAAGAGAAAAGAGAAGCCGGAAAAGAGAACAGAGGAAAGAGAAAGAGAAAAATACAGAAACAGAATGAGAAAGAGAAACACAAAGAGGAAGAGGAAGAGAAAGAGAAAGGAGAAAAGAGGAAAGAGCAAGAGAACGAGAGCGAGACAGAGACAGAGACAGACAGACAGAGAGAGCCTATCCCACAAAAGATACCAGCGTTGTCCTCCTCACGCCGCGCCTTGGCTGAACGGCTTGTACCCCTCGAAGCCAAGCGCCGCACTGCAGACGCGAAACTGAAAGGCCACTGTTCGGTTAAGAATCGGGACTGAGTGCCAGGAACCAGGTTTGATGGTCTCACAGTGACCAAAGCCGTGCCCTGCCCGGTTCCTCCAAGCCAAGTGGAAGCTGAACCAAGCTCAGACGCTGAGCCAAAGTGCTGCGATGATCTACTTGCACCCCAAGCCTTCCCTAGCCCTAGACTCAACACAAGTATATATATAGCCTATAGCATCCTTTAGCTAGTTTACCAGCGGAAGACAGAACCTCTTCGCTCCGCTGTGGAGGGGCGCATGGCATTGGCGATGTGCAATTTTCCAAGTCAAGGGTGTGGCTGAAGGCTTGACGCAATGCTGAACAAAGAAATGAGGACCATGCTTTCTCCTAAAGAGGGTGGTAATACCCAATCGAGCACAATAGCAAGGCTAGGCTTGGAGATAGCTTGTTGGCAAAGTAGCTACGCTGGCCACGCTTGTACTTTTTGCGAGAGCAAGCTTGATTGCCTGCCAAAAGGCTGAACGGGATGCAGTCTATAGCAAGTTGAAGGAATACAGTTGCGCTATGTTCCAGTGCTTCTTACAAGAGGCTTTGCAAAGGACAATAAAGAAAGAAAAAAACTCACAACTGACGCTGCAAGCAGTTGTCAATTGCGTTCAAAACCTTCTTTTGCGATCTTCGCTGTTGGCTGCAGGTGTGTACCCATGCTCCTTGCCAACAAAGCAAACCCACACACAGTCACAGAGTCTCTACTTCAGTCACACCAAGCAAGTCGGCAAGTGTGTAGAGATCCACTACCAGTCTATCTGTCCTTGCATAGGCATTCCATGATAGACCAATCCACAGGTGAATCCTGGGGCACAAGATCAAGTTTGCCGAGCGGCATCCTGGTTGCGGCGGTCCAGTTCCACGAACGTGTGCTCTGGCATCTCATACAAGGCCTGTCAGCGTGTTTATGAATTGAAATGATGGAGGATGTGAGAACAATACTGTAAACAGGATGTTGAATCTTTGATACCATCACGTCTGGAAGGCAAACCGAGTCAGGAAGGCGATCTTCCCCCCAAGACGGCAATTGTCTTTCTCCAAAACATCCTTGGCAAACAAATCTCAACCATGACTCTCAGGTTTACATGGAATCTCATTATTGGGCAGAGAATACAGGGTGCAATGAAGGAGCCTTTTTTGTCAGGTAGAAGGCTCCGTTCCTAAGCTGTGGAACATGTGGATCTGATACAAATGGTCCACTTGCCACTCACTGCGCAAAGCATATCTTTTTGCAATTGCCAGTCCATTTTATATCGAGATGTCGATACTAGCAATCTATGTATATATATGCACAGAACAATGAAGTTATACGACTCACGGGGACTTTAGATTCGACAGACTATGCTCTTCAATGCGGAGTCTCTCAATGAGCTCACCATCCCAGTCTTGCCTCCTCGCAGGAAGCCAACATGGCCATGCCAGAATTTTTGCTTGTTAAAGTGCTCAAGCAGCTCTGCTCAAACCGCTTCGCTTATCCTCGGTCTCTTTGCTGGGAGATAGTTCTCTGCGTGAGCGGCTCCGTCAGGATCGATCCGCCTATAAGGAACTCAAATATGGAGTCAAGTCAACAGTTCAACAGTAATTTGCTCCTCAGCTTGTCCGAACTTTATTCTCGCTACTTTGGGCTGCTGACATGGACATTCCTGAAACCCTCTTCAGCTCAGCAGGAGACCATCGAAATCGGTTGGATCTCACGGCAGTCACCAAGGAGTCTGCCTGGTGCCTTCATGCCATACATGAACAAACAAAAACACCAAAAGTTCAGCCAGAACCTCTTAAACAAAGCAATGGCTTCGCGGAAGTGGTACGGCCTACAAGGACTGCAGATTGGAAATGAACTCGATAAAAGGGAAGTAGGGAGTACTCAGCATACTATGCGTCGTAGGGACTATCATGTTGCACATGAAATGGGCCCTGCGCGTTGTCAGAGGAGATGTAGCCTGTATCAAACACCTCAGAGACTCCCAAACAATTGTAAGGCAGAACGTGGAACGCGCCTAAAGAGTGGAATCAGTGTGCTGCCCAAGGCATTGCGAAACATATATATATAACTATATAACTTTATGTATACATATGTATATATATATTTTTAAAAAAACATCCGCCGACTCCAGCGAAAAGGGTAGAGCAAGCCGGAAAATCACCGGCTGCGGTGGTTTTGGGAACATAAGCATAGAACGTAACCACATACTGGGCATGTGGAGCTGCGACAGGTGCGTTGATCTTGCTCGCATGCCTGCGTGCTTTGAGTTGACGTTTCAACGGCTATGTTTCACTGTTTTTTTGGTGAATCGGCTAATCTGATTTTAGTTTCAGTCGTCTTATCCTTGTGGCAGGCCCCGCCCCGCGGCCGACTATATGCGCAGACCATGCGAGAGCCTGTGCTTGGGCTGGTTACCCGAGGGTGGCTGGTGCGAGTTATGCCGCCCAAGTTGGCCTGCGTTATTTGCATGTTTTTGTTGCTTGTTTCCTGCTCTGCAGCCAACAACAACAACGTCATCAACAACAACAACAACAACAATTACAAGTATAACGGATAACCCCACATGTTAACTTCACCAGACACAGGAGCGGACAATTGGTGGTTACAGCGGCGGCGACCCGCGAGCGCCAGGGCGAGACCACGGCGTGCACCAGGGCGATGCCAGGGCGTACATCCGACCCCCTGGAGAGCAGCGCTGCGCCTGCCATGCAAATCACGAGCACCAGGGCAACGCCAGGGCGTACTTCCGACCCTGGAGGGCACCAAGTGCTGCGCCTGCCACACAAATCACAGCGGCAGAGCGGCGGTGACAATTGGTTGGTGGCAATTGGTTGGTGGCAGTTGGTTGGTGGTAGTTTGTGGGTGGAAATTTGTTGGTGGCAATTGGTTGGCGGCGGTTGGTTGGTAGCAGTTGGTTGGTGACAGTTGGTTGCTGGCAATTAGTTGGTGGCAGTTTGTGGGTGGAAGTTTGTTGGTGGCAATTGGGTGGCAATTGGTTGGTGGCAGTTTCTTGGTGGCAATTGGTCGGGGGCAAGTGGTTGGTGGCAATTGGTTGGTAAGTTTGTTGGCGGCAATTGGTTGGTGGCAGTTAGTTTGTTGGTGGCAATTGGTTGGTGGCAACAGGTTGGCGGCAGTTTGTTGGCGACATTCGTTGGTGGCAATTGGTTGGTGGAAGGTTGTTGGTGGCAATTGGTAGGTGGCAATTGGTTGGTGGCAATTGGTCGGTGGCAATTGGTTGGTGGCTGTTTGTTGGTGGCTGTTTGTTGGTGGCTGTTTGTTGGTGGCAGTTTGTTGGTGGCAATTGGTTGGGAGGAGGAGGAGGAGGGCGGAGGAGCGGATACCACACTAAAAACCAAAAACATACGTCAATGTGGAGAACAACAACAACAGCAACAACAACAACAACAACAACAATTACTACTACTACTACTACTACTACTACTACTACCACAACTCCCAACGATGCCCCGCAATCTGCATCTCCCCACCATGTCCTTTCCTTCGTTGCGCTTCGCTGGCCTGCTGGCCCGCAGTTGGGCGTCAGCCCCTTAAATTGTGTGAAATGCGTTGAGATGCAAGCCAGGCACAGAACATCATAGTCTGGATGCGCTCTCGCAAAGTCTGCCTCAGCAAAGCTCCCTCATTGCAGGCGCGACGAAGATTTGATAAAACAAACTCTTTTTACCGAAAGACGAACATAAATCCGCCCGCACCGAAGGTGCCAAGGGCATATATACATCTATAGGGCTGTGGAGCAAAAATATATTTGTTAAGCAAACAAAAAAGCCCCCAAAACATGAAGCAAAAGGGAAAGCAAAAAAAAAGCAAAAAACGTGTAGCTGCGCGTGTTTGTTGCTTTTACCACGTGTATTTCGCTTATTTTCGCATTGTTTTCGCTGTATTTTCGCTTTTTTTCCTAGGAGCGTACAGCAAACATTGCTGACGGGTATAAATTCTCATAAGTGCAGAAGTGGCACCAGGAAAAAGCCCCCCCAAAAAAAGCAATACAAATGCAAAAGCAAAGCAAATTGGGCTGCTTTTGCACGCTCGCGCGCTTTTGTTTTGCTTTTGTTCGCTTGTTTTATTTGACGGTTGGTCGTGTATGGCTGCCATTGCCCAACACAGATGTAGGGGCGCGCTTTTTCGAATGCTGTGATTTACAATGCTTTTAGAAGATGGAGAAAATTGGACCAAACATTGGCGAGGCCGGTCACGCCGCCCCGGGGAGATCGCATTATCGACATCGCAAACGTATGGGAGATCGCAATATCGACATCATGCATGTCTGTATGCGTGTTTGTCTGTACGCATGGATGGATGCCTCTGTCTGTATGTGTGCGTATGAGGGCTTGTGGTGAAAACTGGGGAGATCGCATTGTTCGCGGACGCATGGGAGATCGCAATATCGACATCGTGGGTGTCTGCATGCGTGCATGTCTGTATGCATGGATGGATGTCTCTGTCTGTATGTGTGCGTGTGTGTATGAGGTCTTGTGGGGGGGGAAAAAATGATTTGGTGGAGGGTTCTGTGGGAGAAACAATCGGTAGCGCCAGGCAGGTGGTGTCTCCGCAGCCGCACTCCGAATTTTCCTCGACAGAACGGAGCTGTGCCGGATGGTCGCCAGCGATGACCTCATCGGCGACCAAAAGCACCGCGAGTGTTATGACACTGATGGCTACAGCTGACAGAGGAAGTTAACTGGCGCAAACGATATCGGTGAGAGGACACACGACGACTCGGTCTCAATGCTGAGGACGTCGGCCGAATTGCCGTCGACAGAACGGAGCTGCGCCGGATGGTCGCCAGCGATGACCTCATCGCCGACAAAAAAAGCACCACGAGTGTTATTATGAGACTGGTGGGTACAGCTGACAGAAGAAGTAGACTGGCGCGAGTGATATCGGTGGGAGGACACATGACGACACGGTCTCAATGCTGAGGACGTGGCCCACGTGATTGATCTGTGGAAAATCCGCCCACACCGCTTGTCGCTGCAGGGCGTGCTATGGGGCTCTCTAAGCTCTGCTGCTACGCAAATAGCTTTGCTATGGGGGGGGCTTTTTTTTCGCGCGCACGCGGCTATGGTTGGGCTGCAGGGCCATTGGTGAGAGCGTTTTGGAGGCACATTTTTGGGTGATTTTTGGTTACGTCGTGCTTGCAGGGCCACTGGGGAGAGCGTTTTGGAGGAGTTTTTGTGTTTTGGGTTGGCTGCTGCGTTGATTCTTGCTCGGCCTGCAGGGCCACTGGGGAGAGCGTTTTGGAGGTGTATTTTTGGATGGCTTTTGGCAACGCCGAAGT